CTACTATATATATATATATATATATATATATATATATATATATATATATTTTTTATTGGATAGGAAGCCACGTCACCGTGGCGAGGATCGCGTGCGCGGAATCGATTAGGATATCGGATTAACGGTTTTGGGAATTTAATAATTCGGTGAGATCTGTAGATTCTTTTGTTTCGCGCGCGTCGAATTTATTAAAAGTTGATCGGAAAATATTTACGTGATTGAAAATAACAAGTGTATGTGTGTAAAGTAACATATGGTAGTCGAATAAAATGTTTCGTTCGTTCTATTTAAAATTTCTTTTTATTAAAAAAAAAAATTGTCATTATACTTGTCTTTAAAAAATAAACAGGATTCTTGATAGAGAAGGTAGAAGGAGAATAGATCGATTTGTTCGACAGGTATGATCTAAAGGAATTAGGAAAGGGGAAAAAAANAAAAAAAAAAAAGAAAATTAGAACAACAAGCTTGATTTATTTTATTTCTGATATAAAAATAATATTTCGCGAATAAACAAATGAATCGATACAAAACTTGTGATGCAAGCTCGTTATCGAAATCGTACATACACATCGATATAAAAATAACGCGTAACATTTTAAAAAAATGTTAATGAAAAATAATTAAATATAGCATCATTCCTGTTCTCAAAGTGACTCTCAGTGTGTCAACTCGCTTACGCAACTCGTAGAATTAATTATATCGGCGCACAATGGATGATCGATAATTTAAAAAGTTGGTCGTATTCCCGGGTTGGGAACGAAGAGCGTCATCGAAAAGTTGGGACGTTTATCGAATCCCCTTGGGGTAGGTTGGGGTCCGGCGATCCACGCTGTCCTTAAACAGGTAGGAAAGTTGGAAGTTTGCAGTGGCTTTGCCTGACCTTCGTGAAATAATCAGTCGTGGTATCAGGCGAACTCCCTTCGAGCAACGTTGTTCGAACGTTCCTCCGGGTTTTAACGGCGAAACGGCACGATAATTGTGCCACTCGTTTACCTCCATCCCCCTTATTACGCATTACTGGAAATTATAATCGTCGAGCACACCTCGAAACTCGTTCAATCGAATTCTACCATTCACTCTCGACCCCATTCAAACGTGATCATCGAATTAGTATCGAATTATATTATAATACTATAATGCATACGTAATCATCCGTGTATTCGATGTAATAATGATTCGATCGTGCAATCAATTTTCCAAATTGAAACGTGATATTATATTTGGAAAAATATTTTGATTCGACTGATCTAAGAATAATTCCAATTCCATTTCGACGGAGATAATAATTACTTTCCAACAAATCGATTAAAAAAAAAAAAAAAAATAAGACTAAGAGACTAAAACACGTTTTCAGGATTTTCAGGTTGAAGGAACGTGCGAAGACGTTCGTTCAAAAAACTCGATCGTCAACGATCGATCCCTTCCTTTAACGTTCGTGCCATTAATCATCGAAAATCGGCGAGAAAAAATGGAAAGGAGGGTAGAAAATTTGCGGCGACGTATATAGTCGAAAGCACTTTGTTTCCAGCGTCGGCGGTCGAATATTTTATAATTGTTATCAATACGGTACAAATGCGAAGGGGTTTCAAACGCGGCGTAATAAACGAAATAAAGTATCGCCATTTTCGCCGCTGACAGAGCGCATTGCTCGCCAGTCGGACTTTTCGGCCGTGTTTTCACCGGTGCCTCTTCAATCGTAATTAATATTTTTTCCCGGCGGCTGCTTTTTTCTGGCTTTCGATAAATTCGACAAAAAAAAAAACAAAAGATGAAAAAACAGAAAAAAAAAATTACAGGGACGTATGATTTCGACGCGATACACTGTTCGATCTCTCCCATTTCCTTCTTTTTCTTTCCCCTCCCTTTTCTTTCCTTTTCTTTTTTCATTTCGTTTAACGTGTTTTGCGATGCGTGAGCGAACGAGAATGCTTAGATGCTTTAATCGCAGAGTTTAATTCAATACGTAAGCTGTGATCACGTGCGAATTGTAATTGTAACTTACCATCTGGATGGACGTTTTGTTGCAGGATAGCGATAGAAGTAGCGTTGGCAGTCCTGAACCGGTGGCGGCCACTGGCTCGCTCCATGAGCATCAGATGATGATGGATGAAATGAAAAACTCGCGGAAGAATAGCCCGTCACCTGAAAATCTGCATCAGGCGAAACGGGCAGCGGTGGCGCAAGCACATCTCAATGGGACGAGTGAGTTTAGATTTCCTCTATCACGTAGATTGATAATTTAGATTGTGATCTGATTTATTACGTTAATAATTGATCATTGATCGAAGCGGAGATATACATTTTTCGATATCGAGAGTTTTTTTGTCTTAAATTTTAAAATTTTAAAATTACATATATTAGTGTAGATATTTAAATAGTTTTAAACAACTTTTTTTATATTTTGTACTTCTCATTTTTATCGTATGAGAGGAAACAAAGTTTATAATATGACGAATTAGAGGATGCGTTTAATTGAAAAAGAAGAATAATAATTGTAATTGATTGTTTTGTTTCATCAGTGGCGGGGATGGTGACCCTACAGAATCTTCAGAATTTGGCGAGTCTACAAAATCTACCGCAAGTCGCATCGTTGGCCGCAGGTCTCCAGGGAATGACAGCGGGATTGACTAACAATCAGCTCATCAACACACCCCTGAATCTCACTGTCAGCTCCTCGGGTAGGGATACAAACAGTCATCGCATGGCTTGACGAACCGGCACACGCAAAACTTGACACTCCTTTTCATTCGCTTGAATTATATTCAAATTCCATCCCTTCACCGATTCAATTAAACTTTAACGCCGCTGCAAATAATGCAACACGCTTGTAATCTTTAAACCCTTCACGCTGATTCGTTTTGCGACTCGTCAAGTTGCTTTCTTTATACTTCTTTGTACGGTTCAAGATATTTTTTCCTTTTTTTTTTTTTTTGGTTTCTAATAATTTTAGTTTCGAATAATTAATATTTTTCACGCTAGAACTACCAATTTATATGTATCCACATACAGAGTGAATCGTTGAAAAAAGATTTTCCTATTGGTTGAAAAAAATTTGATAATACAGAATCTCACTATCTAAATATTGGGGTAAAAATTTAGAAAATATTCGTACATACGAAAGATCACGATTAATCTGTTATTTACACGTTTAAGAAAAATTTAGCAGCGTAAAAATATACAAAAATTGCAAAAGCGCATAAAACATGGAAAAAATATACAAAACGTTTAAAATATAGTATATTCGTGTTACGATGTAATATCGAGTAATAGTAGATAAAACGAATCTTCGTTTGGCTTGTGTATTTATGAAAATACGATTTTACACATATAAACTTATTCTACTTATAAACTCTGACAAATTTGGCGGTTCTAGCGTTGAAAACGAAAAGAACAAAAAAAAAAAAAAAACAAGGTGGTGGACAGCTAATTAAATCGGCAGATTCTCTTTTCAGCGAATGAATTTTCATGTTCAGGTGGCACGGTACCAACAGCCTCGAACACGACAGCTGCCCCTCACCTCCTGCCACCGAGCTCGACGCCAATGGCGACATTACCTCAGCTATTATCTCAGCCGCAACCGGTCGCGATGCCTCAATTCATCCTAACGTCCGGTCAATTGGTTCAAGGCATTCAAGGGGCTCAGCTCCTTATCCCTACGTCGCAAGGTAAGCCTTCTGTTTCTTATGTGTTAGCACCCTTTCAACACACTCGAAACGAGCATTGAACGACACCCATTAGAGGCTTGTCCGCGATCGAAGTTAAGGCCGTCCACGTCCAACGTGTCACGTAAATCGATTGTACGTCGAACCCTCTCGCGGATCCTATTCACCATTGGATGCGTAGTTTGAAATAATTAGATTCCAAGAGGAAACACATTCTATGGTAATAAATACGTTGAATACTTTGGAATAATTTTTAATAAAACTAAATATTTTAGTTCCGAATGCAAATGTTCTTTTTTCAAATGTTCAAATGGTTGTATTTTGAATTTATATATATGTATTTTTTTTTTTTTTGGTAAAATTTGTGCAGGAAATATGCCCCCTGGAGAAATATTGGCGATTAAGTTAAAAAGAGTTCTCAAAATTTTTATCGTATCTTTCTGACCATTTTTGACGGTTGAAGTATCATCATCGAACAATTTATTTATCCCAAATTAATTCGAAAGCAAACGAGATTTCTCCATCGCGAATTAATTCGAAAAGCAATTTCCCAACAAAAGTTTTCTTCGTACAAGATATATTTCCCCGCACCGTCAGAAGATTATTGCGATTCACTTTACACGTCACGGTGTATCGTTCCCTTCTTTTTCCTCTCTTTCTTTTCTCTCTTTTTTCTTTTTTTTTCAAACTCGCAAAGTGAGTTGGACGCCGGCAAACCGGTCCAAGCTGTCGAGCTCCCGAAAACATTCGAGGCGGCTAATCGCGGCCTCACCTGGGAAATTTAATTAAACGGCGGCCAAGAGGGAGGGAAAGATCGAGAGGCGCAGAGGGAACGAGAGAGATCGGAAAACAGAGATAAAGGACCCAGAGAAGAGAGAGAGAGAGAGAGTAGAGGAGGGTATATCCCGTTGCTATCAGTAAACCAACAAGAAATCTCCAACAATAACCCTCGCACTAAGTACCTTCGAATTTCGGGGCATAAATCAGTCCGAGTGGTCTCATCGTGAAATCTGCACGATGTGCCGGCGCATAATGTTGTGCAATCAAGATGTGCCGATGTATATATATTATACATACATACGTACGTATAATATATAATATGATATCGACTATCTCTGACCAAGGCTCGGACTAAGGCTCGCCCCGTCGTCCATACTTAGTGGTCCTAGACTAGCCTGGCGAGCAGAGGGCAAACTCTGCAACTAATTTCAATGTATAATTAACGTCTCACTACCCCTTTCCAGACCCACGAATAACCCACACCCCTCGCCTCCTCGCTTCTCCTACTCTCCTAACCCTACTCTCTCTGTCTCTCCCTCCCCTCTCTCTCTCTTTCTCTCTCTCCCTTGCTCTCGCTGGCTGGACATCATAGCTCCGCGGATTCGGCCGCTATTATATCGATTGCGGTTCGCGCTAACTTCGTTTCTACCAAGTTGGGTTTCTATTCTGGCAATTGAGAGAGAGAGAGAGAGAGAGAGAGAGAGAGAGAGAGAGGAGGAGGTGAGAAGG